GAGGGGTCCGTGGGTTTTTTTCGGAGAGCCCTTCCTGCCGCAGCGTTATGCAAAGCGTGTCGTCCTCTTTTCTGTCCGCCTGCAGGTTACGAGGGCACCGGCTCGGTCCTGATGTCCCCTGTCCCCCACCAGATGCTGCCCTACATGAACGTGGGCACTTTGTCCCGCACGGAGCTGCAGTTGCTCAACCAGCTGCACTGCCGGCGGAAAAGACGGCACCGGACTATCTTCACGGACGAGCAGCTGGAGGCTCTGGAAAACCTCTTCCAGGAAACGAAATACCCAGACGTAGGGACCAGGGAGCAGCTGGCCAGGAGGGTACATCTAAGAGAGGAGAAAGTGGAGGTATTTCTGCTTCCCTTTGCCTCCTTCGACCCCCTCCCTTTTGCGTTTGAACGCGAGCGGAGCCGCGGCGGGGCAGCGCGGTTTGGGGAGGGAGACAAGGCTCTGCCGTTCCGGGCCGGGACACCGTCCTGAGCGTGCTCGTTCTAACGCGGCTCCGTTTCTCGCAGGTTTGGTTCAAAAATCGCCGGGCGAAATGGAGGCGGCAGAAGCGATCGTCCTCGGAAGAGTCGGAAAACGCCCAGAAGTGGAGTAAAGCATCCAAAACGTCCCCGGATAAGCGGCAGGAGGAAGGAAAAAGTGACTTGGACTCGGACAGCTGATGGCCGCGCCGGGGGGGGCCATCTCCCGTGGACTGTAGGACTTGCTCCCGAGGATGCTACTGTCTTGCACAAACTCTGCCTTGTCGGAGAGGGGGAACAACAACAACAAAACAACAACAAATCTATCTTATCTATATATCTGTATATAGTGAACATGAGCCGCGCCGCTCTCGTGTAAATAAACGTGTTGCCGAGGTGTTGCACAGAGGGTGAAACAACAACAACAAAACAACAAAAAAATCTATCTTATCTCTATATCTGTATATAGTGAACATGAGCCGCGCCGCTCTCGTGTAAATAAACGTGTTGCCGAGGTGTTGCACAGGCAGGCGGCGGCGCCCCGGTCTGTCCGGCCTCACGCCGCGCCCCGCCGCGGCGGGGAAAACGCGGGC